TCTAACTTGCTGTGTTAATTGGTGTGCCTTCTGGATTATGGAATAATAGGTGGTTTTATTTTCTATATTTCCCAAACTCACTTTTTAAAAACAATAACTGCATATCATCAGGGAAAAAAGTTCCCATCAAGTGTGAGTCTGCAAAGGAAGATCTTAAGATGCAGATTTCAAAATGTTAGTTTTCTTCAGGTGATGAGATTAACAATCTCTTACTGTAAAAAATTATTTAAAAAACTTTCCTTAATAACTATTAAGAAGTCTGATATTTGAAGACAGCATCTATGGATAACATACCACCCAAGGACAGCTCTCAGAGGCTGGGTCAGGAACTTTCCAGAGCAGTTAGGACCGAGGCCAGACCAGGGTCTGGGTGTCAAGACAAATCTGCCGAATGTCAGAAAGGCTAACATGCCCCAGCTTGGAAGGCAGTGAGCTGCTCTGTGTTCGTGGCTGACCATTCTGGCAAGTAACCCCCTCAACAGCCCAGCTATGGTCCCCAAGCCAGCCCACAGCCCCCTTATCTGGGTGGCAGACCATCAGAACATAAAGCAGGTGGGACTGGCCACAGCTGCAGTGACCACTGTAGTCAGAGTCAAATGTGTGATGGAAGCATTTGGCCCTTGTGTCCTGTCGCCTCAGCCACTGATGTTCTTTTTGATGAAGGACTATTGACCTACCCTATCCAGGTCAATCACACTGTCATGTGGAGGAGTTGGGAAGCCAGCAGGTGCAGCTAGCATGGCCTCGGAGGCATACCGGGTGTCATGGGGACACGACAGTAACCTCAGCTGCCTGTCAAGGGCAAGAGGCTCATATCCAACAGATGTCAGGCTACACTCACTCCTTGGAGCCTCCACTTCAAAACAAGGATGGAGGCTGCCAGTCACTGGCAGGTGGGAGGGAGGGGTGTGTAAACACCCAGCTCCCTGCACAAAGTGGTCTGAGACCGTGTGAACTATGCTAGCAAGGCTGAAACACAAGGGCTTGTTTATGACTTAGGTTTTAGAGCTGCACACCATTTTCGCAACAAAGATCGGTTGTGTGAAGGAGGAACTGTACAAGGTCAGGGGTGACAGCATGTGGATTTGGGGGACAACTTGGAGGCTGGCAGCTAAATTAGGAATGTGGTTTGCTGCTGAAAGGGAGGGAGAGGGAACAGACCTGTCTACACATCTCTTTAAAAAATATATTGTATTTATTTATTCTTAGAGAGGGGGAAAGGAAGGAGAAAGAGTGGGAGAGAAACATCAGTGTATGGTTGCCTCTTCTGTGTCCCCTACTGGGGACCTGGCCTGCAACCCAGGCATGTGCCCTGACTGGGAATTGAACCAGTGAACCTTTGCTTCACAGGCCCATGCTCAATCTACTGAACTATACCAGCCAGGGCTGTCTACTCATCTTGAATCACAAAGCCTTCTGGGAGAGCTCCAGGGTCTGTCTTGGTGGGGGGTCGTGGTGACCATCACCTGGCAGCCAGCCTGTGGGTTCCCACCCCACTGTATTTCAGTGGCAGCCATGATGTCAGCATTACACCAGGACTCTGCCCCCTCTCCTGAGGCCCATGCTGAAAGCCACAGAATATTTCATTTATGATGTTCTCTCTGGGCTGTGGTGGTGGGGGGAGAAATGGAGAAAAGAAACAAAACCCAAGAAATACACCATCCTCTAAAAAAGCATAAAAGAAAATAATAGTGGACTTTTATTGTTGGGAACTGCTCTGCCTGGTTTCAAGAATTGTAACTGCTTAAGGCTGAGTGTGTGACCAACGAGATATGAGCCACTGAGGGGACAAGGTTTGTCTCTGGCAGCAGATGCTGCCCCTGCTCCAACACCCTGCCCCCAATGAATGATTAAAGATGTATGATGGGTAAGACTCTTCACAGTGAGGAGCAACCTAAGCCAGACTCGATCACTTGGGAGGCCACCATGGAAGGACTTGGGGGGCTGCGACAAAGAGGGAGTGATACACCATCCCCCCCCCCCCCCGCCACCGCCCCAGCTGTTCTGACATAGCCCAGTCCCAATGTCCTCTGGGAGAAGCGCTTCCTGGCTCTAATCCCCTTAAGCCTGAAAACCTGTGACAGGGAAGATTGTGCAACCTTTTACCAGCTAGTGCAGGACCCAGTGTAATCTGGCAAGAGAAAGAATTCTTAACAATCCTGTGAAGCCTGCTTTGCTAAGAATGCTTTTAGTTAAATGTTTTTATTTTCCCTCAGTTTTACAGCCTTTTAGTTGATACACCCTGATTTAGGAGAAGCCCTAATGGTTCTTTTTATATTATCTACTGTTTACTGCCTATCCATGATTAATAAGGTGTACCTGAATTCCTGTGTGTGTGTGGGGGGAACAATAAAAGCCTGTCTAGGCAAAGGGTAGGCAGCACTCTCCCCTAGCGTGTCCTGCCCCTTTTTCCCCACAGGATTCAGTGGTCCGTGAGAATTTGTCTTGATCATCCATAACTCCGTGGGCACTGCTGGTCAGTGCATGTGTCAATTTATTATTGAAATCCATGTAGCTTATGTAGATACTCTTCTTCACAAGCCTGGCACTGGAAGGACAGAAAGGTCCTGATTTCAGGTCATGGGGGTGGGTGTCCCCCTTTGGTGAACCCACTCCAGCAGGAACAAGGTGGATCATGCTTAGGTCTCCATCATGCAGGAGAGGGTATGATGAGGTCCTCACTAATTGTTCACCATCTCTCTGTATTGAACTCAGTTCTGGTTCTAAGAAAAGGGTGACTTCTGGGAGCTGTTAGCACCCCTCCTTATGCAGATGCAGATGTTTACCCTGTTCTCACCCTCAGTCTTGCTGGACTCCCACCCATTGGGTCCATGGGAATTTGGTGCTCTTGGTCCATTATGGACACTGGCTGCGAATGGGTGGCCAGGAATGACCAATATTGTGCATGTCCATTATCTCATCAGGCTTCACTTCACAAACAAAAGTTTAAAGATCAAATAAGTACTAATTTCAAGATTGTGTCAGTGATGTATGAAGCCCTGTGCAGCCCAGGTACAAGGAAAGTGCATTACAGAAGCTTCTGTGTTGTGGGCTCCATGAATGACAGATGCAGATAGGGTGCATCTGTCACAAGAGAAACTCGATTCTTCTTGTCAATGCAGGAAAGGATTACAGATCAGCAAGTGTGTTAGCATGCAAGCAAATTTTATTAGTGATACATTCTCATGGAAGAGGACAGGTCTTGCTGAGGTAGGGGTGAAAGGCAAGAGCTTGGGTGGCCAGGGCACCAGGTCCTCTGTCCTGAGGACTTACATAGTTGGTGGGATGGAGGGGGAGGGAAGAAGTTACATATTGATTGACGGGTAAAAGTGGTGCCAGCTTCCATGGGGGACTGACTACCCAAATGTAGGTGGGGGTTATTAGCCTGAATCCTTATCTTGCTTCAGATCCCATTTGGTCATCTTGTAATGTAGATACATGACAGAATTAAAGTTAAGGCAATTACCCAGTTACCTATGGGCTTTTTGGTAAGCACTAGGGACCCTCTCATAAATCAGATAGTGACCAGAGGCAATTAGCCAAATTTGAGTTACAGGTCCTTCCTTGATTTCTGTGGACCCCCTCCCATCTTCTAGGCCTTGGGATGAATAGTTTCAAAGCCTGTTTCCCAGAAGGTGGAAATGATACCTAGGATTTTAACATGTTAGCATGGTGTTTCTTGTGATACTGGATAATCTGGCAATAGAATGGAACCAGGCTCAAGACTGCTGAGTTAGTGGGAGAGACATGTCCTCCTTGTTTTTCCTGCCTTGGCTCACCATCTATCCTAACACACCAGTGGAGGCACATGCTGTTCCCAGTGTCAGCTCTCAGCAAGGGGTAGCCAAGGTTCTTGTTCCACAGGTCACTCTCTACCACCTGCCTGTGTTGAAGAGGCTCTGAAGGTGCACAGGGTCAATGGGAGGGTGGTGACCTGGAGGGGAGTGAGTCTCCCACCTCAGGTCATCTTCTTGGGGAATCTGAGTCTATATGGCTAGAGAAGTAGGGTCTGCTCAAATTCTCAATTTGGCTACAGACTCCTACCCTGTCCTTATTTTCCTTTGTCCAGCACTAAAGACCCAGAAGGCATGGGCACTGAAGGCTGTTCAGCAGGACTTGTGATCTCAGCGATCCTCTTGCCAGATTCTTTCCGTGCTCACTCCAGTTTGAGTGTCAAACTCAAAGGCTGGAGTTCCCATTTCCATGGTACAGACTAGGAGGCAGGCAGAGAGAAGTTGAGAATCATGCCTTACATCACACAGCTGCAGAAGACAGAGCTGAGACTCACACTAAGAACTGATGTGGAAACTGTACACTGTTCACCAGAAAATACTGACCCTGAAGGGACTGCAAGGGCAGTGAGGAAGACAAGGTGTACATACTGAGCCTGGTTCACATACATGCAGAAGCATACATTTCTGTCATTGACGTCTGAGGCTCCAGAGGTTGCAGGAAACCAGAAGAGCCAAGAGAAGCCAAGGGAGGAGGGCAGGGAGCCTCTTAGGAGAAAAGGCTTCACTTTCCAAGAGTCCGGGGAATGTGTCTCTCTCAAGTCCCTCTTTCTGGGTAGAAACCGAAGTAGAGTGACTAAAGACTTATGCATTTGCAGGAGTTGAATTTCTGTGGCTAAGTATGAGTTCTTGGTGGCTCTTCTGGAACTCTCTGCTTTCAGTGATGGGGGGAATGAGAGATGTGGGCTTCATATTTGTATGAAGACAAAACATTTTAGAAAAGGATGTCAAAAGCCATGAAGGAGATTGGTTTTGAAATCCCCATATATCACTCATGGAACTGTATCTCCATCTCATCTCTTGTCATAAACCTGGAAGATTTGTTTAACCAGTTACTTGTATAGTAATTGCAATCTTGGAGAAAGTAAGAGGCCATAGACTTCCTATGGCTATTGATATGCAAATTAATGCTCCCAACTCACTCAGTCCACCTGCAAACATAGTGTTTCTCCCGAGTGTGTCCTCTGGTGTGCAATGAGATATGACTTACATGTAAAGCCCCTCTCACACTCCCTGCAAACATAGGGCTTCTCCCCCGAGTGTGTCCTCTGGTGTCTGATGAGATATGTCTTGCATGTAAAGCCTCTCTCACACTCCCTGCAAACATAGGGCTTCTCCCCCGAGTGTGTCCTCTGGTGTCTGATGAGATATGACTTGCATGTAAAGCCTCGTCTCACACTCCCTGCAAACATAGGGCTTCTCCCCTGAGTGTGTCCTCTGGTGTGCGATGAGATATGACTTGCATGTAAAGCCTCGTCCACAATCCCTGCAAACATAGGGCTTTTCCCCTGAGTGTGTCCTCTGGTGTCTGATGAGATATGACTTGCATGCAAAGCCTCTCTCACACTCCCTGCAAACATAGGGCTTTTCCCCAGAGTGTGTCCTCTGGTGTCTGATGATATCTGACTTCCATGCAAAGCTTCGTCCACACTCCCTGCAAACATAGGGCTTCTCCCCTGAGTGTGTCCTCTGGTGTGTGATGAGAGCTGACTTCCATGCAAAGCCTCGTCCACACTCCCTACAAACATAGGGCTTTTCCCCTGAGTGTGTCCTGTGGTGTGTGATGAGAGCTGACTTGCATGCAAAGCCTCGTCCACACTCCCTGCAAACATAGGGCTTCTCCCCTGAGTGTGTCCTCTGGTGTCTGATGAGAGCTGACTTGCATGTAAAGCCTCGTCCACACTCCCTGCAAACATAGGGCTTCTCCCCTGAGTGTGTCCTCTGGTGTGTGATGAGATTTGACTTGCATGTAAAGCCTCTCTCACACTCCCTGCAAACATAGGGCTTCTCCCCTGAGTGTGTCCTCTGGTGTCTGATGAGATCTGACTTGCATGTAAAGCTTTGTCCACACTCCCTGCAAACATAGGGCTTTTCCCCTGAGTGTGTCCTGTGGTGTATGATGAGACCTGACTTCCATGTAAAGCCTCGTCCACACTCCCTGCAAACATAGGGCTTTTCCCCAGAGTGTGTCCTCTGGTGTGTGATGAGAGCCGACTTGCATGCAAAGCCTCGTCCACACTCCCTGCAAACATAGGGCTTTTCCCCTGAGTGTGTCCTGTGGTGTCTGATGAGATTTGACTTGCATGTAAAGCCTCGTCCACATTCCCTGCAAACATAGGGCTTCTCCCCTGAGTGTGTCCTCCAGCCTCTGATGAGATGTGACCCGTCACTGAAGCCTTGCCAACACCCTCCGTGCTCGATTCTTACAATTCTTAACACCCCCGCGTTCACAAACTTGCCTGTGCCCTCTGGACTGTCCTTCTGACGTCTGTGGGGTTCTTCCTCCATCATTCTCTCATGCTCATTAGAGCTCCTCATTTGTTCTTTGGAAGGTTGGAAAGAGGATCTTGAGATTCTCTTTTGACTGGTCCTCTTAAGCAAAGGTTTGGACCTCTCTTTAGCCTCTTGACCTTCAGTTTTATCATTCCAGTTGTATTTATTAGTATGTTGGTGCTGCTGATTCTGATCCTCTGGGCCAAGTTTCTCTACTTGGAGGTGTTTTCTTGCAGGTGTTCCCAGGAGAATCTGACAGGGATGACTGAGTTTCATGTGTTGACTGAGGAATTTCTGACTGGAGAAGGCCAGAGAGCAGGAGGGACATGGGTGAACCTCTGGCTTTGGTTCCGCTGAAAGAGAAAGGTTTGGTCAGGGCAGATGTTGATGAGAATGCCTGGACCATATGATTAGTCTCCTGTTAAGACCTGCCTCATGAATTATTCTTACTGTGGTGACAACACAAGCTCTTTATCCCTCAAAGTGTCCACTTGCAGTTTATTTTCCTTGTTATTGCTTGCAGTGCCTTTTCTTCAGAAATCTAGAAAGCCCACACCAAGGGTGTTTTCTAATACTACCCAGGCTAGGGGCTTTCAAGGATCATGAGAAGCCACTTCACTCCCTGTGTGGATGGAACTGTAGTGACCTTTTCCATCTATCAGTATCTTCTAAGTCATGTTAAAGAGGAAAACCACAGGCCCCAACTAGGAATTGCTTCTCTCTGGTTTCCAAGACAGTAAAACAAAATGTCCTTCCTGCCCTTTCTCATGCAGCTCAGTGTTCAAGTGGCAGCCTGTGAAGCAAAGAGTTGCAGGTTCAATTCTCAGTCAGGGTGCATGCCCGGGTTGTGGGCCAGGTCTCCAGTAGGGGGCGTGTGAGACGCAACCAGGCATTGATGTTTTCCTCTCTTTCTCCCTCTTCCCCTCTAAAAATAAATAAAATCTTTTTAAAAAGCCCTTCCTCAAGCCTCACACCAGATATTCATGCTTCATTTCATTCAGCTTTAGCCCATTTCAAATACACTGAGAACTCCTGTTTCAAAATATTTCTCCAACCACAATTCTTACACGCCTCACTCCTGTTCCTCTCTGGCCAATCTACCATTGTCTCTCACTTGGAGATGAAGTAACCTCCTCGGGGATTCCCCACTGGAGTTTATTTTCTAAAAATTAACAGCATAATCGGAACAGAGAACACACCACCCAACAGCTGACGACTGCACACTTGCACTCAGGAAAGTCCCCAGTGTCTCAACTCGGATCATCGTCACTGCATTTCCAGGTTGCTAGGCATCTATCTGAACTCCCTTCTTACACTCAATGCTGAGCCGAGACCTGAGTGACCCTCTGCCAATTCAACACCCCACCTTTTTTCTTCCCTGCACTAGCTGCTCCCTCTGCCTGGGATCCTTTGCCTGCAGTATTTCTGTAAATGTTGTATCTGGAGAGAGCCCTTCCCAGACCACCTGCCACACTGCACCTTCCCTCACACTGATCCCCAGGCAATGGTCCTGGAGTAGTTTTCTCCAAAGCACTAACTGCTCTGTAGTGTTATGCACATGCAAGCACGTGTGTCTGGGTTTCCGTCCTTCACCCGTCAGCTCCTCAAGAGCAGGGATTCTGATCCTCACGTTTATCTGTATTTCCAGGTCCCAGGACGCTGTACACCACAGTAGGATTTCACATGATAATTCACTGAAATGATGAACGAATGTGCCCTGCCTGAATGGTGTGGCTTGGTGGGTTGGGTGTTTTCTGAAAACTGAAAGGTTAAAAATTCAATAACATTCAGGGCACATGCCAGGGTTGTGGGCCAGTTGGGGGTGTGCCATAGACAAGTGATTAATGTTTCCCTTGCACAATGATTTTTTTTCTCCCTTTTTTCCACTCTCTGTAAAAATAAATAAAACTTTGTTTTAAAAGATTTCATTTATGTATTTGTTTATTTTCAGAAAAGGGGGAAGGGAGGGAGAGGCAGAGAAACATCACTGTGTGGTTGCCTCTCACATGCCCTGAACTGGGGCCCTGCCCGAAACCCAGACATGTGCCCCAACTGGGAATCAGCCTGGCAACCCTTTGGTTCACAGGCCGGCACTCAGTCCTCTGAGCCATACCTGCCAGGGCAAAATCTTTACAAAATAATGAATGCCTATATGCAAAAATGTTCCATTTACAAGTATGGAGAAAAATTAAGAAAAAACAGCAAGAAAAGTTTCAGAAAAACTACCTTGTTTAAAACAGGTTAGGACTTTGAAAACTTTTCTTTTTTGCCTTTCAGTCTTTCAGGCCAATATGTGGTTGTGTATTTTGTTTATGAAATATTTTTAAAAATACAAATTATAAAAATTTTGCCTAAGAGTCAAAGGCATATGAATGAATTATGAAGTTCTGAAGCATGTGATTGGAAACTTTACTGACTTTAGAGTGGATTTTACTCTACTTCAGAGTTGGATCATGAATATTCCTATGAAGAATTCTCTTTTCTCTCTGTTTTGAAGAACAGTGGTGCCCACCTCTCCCAGCTGTGAACTGTCTCTTCCACTTGCTGCCCCACTTGCTGCCCAGCTCCTGGCCATACTCGTCCCCGCACCAGACCAGCAGCTCACAGCCCGGCCTGATGACCCGGCAGGTTCGGTAGAAAATCTGCCCGTGGTATTGAAAGGCCACCAGGTTCTGCTCTTCATCATCCCGGGCACAGTTCACATACCTGGGATTGAGGCAGAGGAAGGGAAAGAAAACCATGGTGATGAGTTCCCACTACCTGTGACATCCCTGTCCAGCTCCATCCTCACTGATTCTTAAGACCCTCAGGCTCTGGTGTTGCCCACTGCTCCTAATGCTCTCAGGGAACCTTCTCTTCAGTGTCTGAGCATCTGTCAGCGTGTCATGTGAATGCCCACCTAAAGTTCTGCTTGCAGTGTTCATCCTGCCTATTACTATTTTCTAACACCCAGTTCTAGACTTAACTTCCAACCTGATTGGCCATAATATCCAGTGATCTCTGGCTTCTCCAAACTCCAAATCAAGTTGTCTCACGCCACAGAACCCGGTGCTTGATCTAGGGCTCTGCTTCTAAATTAACTCACTAATTATCCAGTACTCAGCCCACATCTGTTTTCTCTTGAGAGCCCCTTTTCCAACTCCCCTACACTTTATTTAGGGTACCATTCGCTTGCCTGCCCAAGGTTACCATAGAAAATTGAATGTCTTTTTGTCTTGTTACAATAAAAGAGAACAATAGTAGTTGATTCACATTCTGTTATCCCTGATTAAAAAAAAAACCCCCTCTCAGGAAAGGGGCCCATGACCATTCCTCTGCAGGCCTCAGAACCCAGCTCTAGTTAGCAGTGAGGATGGGATGGTTTGCTGCCCTCACAGGTTTAGGCCACCCTTGGTTTGTGCTATCTTGACACTGTGCACTTGGAAATTACAGTTAAATGTTTCTAAAAGCAATTGATTTTAGTCTGTCTGCAAGAAGTTTTTCATAAGGATATGGGTTGTGTGATCTGTTTAAGTAATGTTATATTCCTTCACCTCAACTGGATTATAGTAAGTGCTTAGTTAATGTTCATTTGATAAATTAAAGTGTAATCCAGTGTCCCTGGTGAATCTAGGCTCTTCAAGGACCTTTCCAGCACCCACATTGTGTCTGGCAGAGAGCTTTATATTTTGAGGACATATGCTATACTTTCTTCCTCAAAGTTTCCTGAAATGAAAGAACAATGGATAGAGAAAAAGAGGGAAAAAAGGATTAAAGCAGACCATTGAGGGGGCATGATGAGAGGAAAAGATATATGGACTTGTGGGCTGTGGGGGCAACTTTCCTCACAAGTCACCCCAGCCACCACGGATGAGAGTAAACAAGACTGAGACATGATGTGATCTGCTTGGGAAGGAGAGGTGGCCAGTTTCTCAGGGGAAAAAGGTGTTGAGCTCCCTCCTCCAGGGGCTTTATTGGGTTGTAATACACAGGAATACAGGGAGGCAAGGATCGAACAGTAGATAGCATTTCAAAGAAATCTGAGGGCTTTGAATGAGTCACAGACTGTTGGGAACAGAGTTTTAGGTTTTCCTACTTGAATCCTTAACATATGAATGAAAGCACTCTTAGCAGAGCAGATTTCACATGTTTATCAGGAAGTTTTATGATGCCAGATATTTCCCAAGGACAAAGGAGCTGCACCCTTCCCCATCAGGTATTCAGGCTTAAGGGGATTAGAGCCAGAAAGCCCTTTTTCCAGAGAACATTGGAACTTGGGCTTTGTCAATGCTGGGGTGGGGGGTGGGGGGGAGAGTCCATTGCTCCCTGTCCCACCCCACCAAGTTCTTCCATGAAGGCCTCCCAGGTGATTGAGTCTGGCTTGGGTTGCCCCCTGTTGTGAGAGGTCTTACCCAGCATTGACTTCCAACCAAGCTTTGGGGACAGGGAGAGGAAACTGAGGCAGCGTTTGCTACCAGAGACAAGATTTGTCTCCTGCAACTCGCATTCCAAAGGTCATCCCTCTCCCTTAGCCCCAAGGGGTCGAGATACAATTCCTAGAACCAGGCAGAGCGGTCTACAACACTAGGGGATGAGTGTCCCCTCTGGCGGCCAGAGACTGTTGACCTCACCTCATCCAGTTGGCCCAGGCTCTGTCCTTTCCATCCACATACTCATAGCAGTTTCTCCCTTTGGCGATCTGTGTTTCAGAAAAGAAGTTAAAGGCCTTTTATTTATTTCGTGGGGAATAAATAAATTCCAAAGAATAAATAAATAGTCAAAGGAATTATTTTACTTCACTGTCATCAAAGCTCACTCAGCCTACATGGGGATTCAACTGCCAGTTGTGACCACATATTTTTCTTACTCGTTGCCCACAATTCCGAGTCTATCTGTCCAATCAGAGCAAGAGGCCCAGAGGGAGGAGCCGCTCTGTTGTGCCTACACCACTTTGCTCCCACTTATCCTCTGATCCTTCAACAGGAGCTCTGTGTTCATGGAAAGTCCAGTCAGTACACAGAGCTGACCATATTGTCCCCTCCATGTCTAGCATGTAGGAGGTGAGGTCCCTCCAGGCCTCAGAAGGAATGTGGGAAGCCAGAGGACAGTGGAAGAGGTAAAGACTTCTCACCAGCCAGGAGTATCTGCTCTTGGCTGCCTCTTCATCTTCTGTGATGTGTCCTTCATAAGGGCCAAAGTGCAGACCCACTGGCAAATCAACTGCCTCATTCCACACTCCAAGCCCAGCCTCAGGGATACAGGATGGCCCGATTCTCAACCCAGGGGGCAGGGTGAGGGCTGAACGGTGGGGATGCCCCTTGTCCACTGCACGGTCCTTTACAAATGTAGGGGGCCCATGCACAGCACAGCTGTTGATGAAGAAGTTCTGACACTTCTCACAATCTGGAGGAGAGAGCAACAGGGGTTAGGGAAGGTGTAGTGCATGTTCCTGGACACAAAGAGCTTCAGAGGGAGTGCAGCACTGACATCACTGAGACTCAATCCTGTACTCCAGGTCACTAGAGGAAGGGAATGATTTGGGGACCAAAGGACTAGATGAAATTGCTGCATTGTAACTTGCTTCTTAGTGAGGGTCACTTACAAAGGTAGACATCATCCTGGGGCTCGGTGACCTCTTGGTACACACAGTCCTTTCTCTCTTGTAGGCTGTACATCTTCACGTCCATCTCCTTTCTCCTGAGTTCTAAGTTGGAGAATAGCAGGTGAGCGAGGTTGGTGGGGTCTGGAGTATAACTTCCCATTTTGTCATAAACACACAATCTCCTCCCATCAAAGTAGCACCTGTCCTTTGCATACTCTAGTATTTTACTCAGTTAACTGTTGCTTCAGAAGATTAAGACTCCACACTAACTACAGATGACTGATTCAATTGTAGTTTCCAGATCTTCCCAGTTCCAGGTTTAACTTGCCAACCTATAATTATTCGTAAAATGTGTACTGAGTACACTTTGTGTCAGGCATTGAGTAAAGGCCTGGGCACTCAACACCAATAAAGAATGGTTGCTGTTATCACAGATTTAGTGGACAAGTTGTATGTGTCACCTGTTTTTAATTCAATTTAATGTTTTCAAAGAATATGAGTAATGTTTCCTTATCTTCAGTTTTCACATTAGCATTCAGGAACTCAGAAAATTTATATAGGATTTGCCCAAATCCTATAAATGAAGCTATACCTATTTTTGTAGGTTAGCTCCATTGCTAACCAGTCTCAGCTTAGGCCAGGTTAACTCCAGGCTCATCCAAGGTCCACCCCATGGACCTAGGCCATACTTATTAGATTTTTGGTAGGACTTAGAGGAACTAAAGTTTCCAAAGTATTTTCTCTTACCTGATTTTTGTCTAGTGTGCTGTCCAAAGGCACATGCTTCTTCAGAAAGGGGCACTGGTTTCTGGGCATGCTCTGAGTCACTTGCAGTCATCAAATTTGACATTCCTGTCAATTCCTTCAAACTGTACTCATTGCTTAATGGCACCCTGGATGTTGCCTTTAATATAAGAGCCACACATTAAGACATAACATGTCTTTAATGTTGTAAGGCCTATGATACATTTTACATGCATGTCTTTAATACCTCAACCCTTGGAAATACCTAGGGAGTATGAATATTAGAGGGGATAGGGCCAATGTGGGTAATGAATCCAAGATTAGAACCCATGCCTTATGGCTCTTTTCTTTCAACTGTCTCTATAATAATGAGAGTGAAGGATAAGGCTGTACCAGTAGCTAGTTGTCTTCAGTTTCCTCATATATAACTCCCTAACTTTTTGTGTTATAGTGAACATGCAATGAAATATTGTTGACCAAAGTGCCCTGTGAGTTGTGTAATACAGTATGAATGTGAGATGACAGTCTCCATATCAATTTACCCCTCAGGTCTCTCCATATTTCACATCTCACAGAAATTACCTTCAGTGTTCATCGATCATCTTCTAGTTTAATTAGTAATTGTGAAATCATCCATTCAGCAAACATTTGGGGGCCTTCAAGGGTCCTGATCTGTACCTGTGACCTCTGAGAAGTCTCAGGTATGAACCAGGCCCTCAAAGAGCTCACAATGCAGGGTTAGGCAGGCTGAACAAATGATTCTACACAGGATGAGAGTGGTCTCATTAGAATTCAAGAGAAAGAAGCTGTTACTTCGCCCTATTAGAAATGGCATTTGAAATCAGTTCCAGATAGATGAATTTCTGTTGGATAGTGTATAAACCATATGAAGACCTCAAGTCATTTTATTATTTGCTGTTTCTCAATCATCAAACCTGAAGCCCCTCAGGGGTGGGAGATGCTGTCTTTGATTAGAGTGGGAGGCTGTGATCCTGGACATTTTACATTCTTCTTCACCTGGGACCATCCACTGCACCAACTACCTACACATCGTACACTTTCCTTAGTAAGAGAGTCTTAGTGCATCTCTCATTTCCGCATAGCATAGAACTTTGGTTAAAAGCACCAGTCAGATGAATGATGTAATGACATATGGGTAAGACAATGTACACTTGAGAAAGCAATGAAAATTTTACTTTTAAAATTTCTTTATTTTGTTGAGAGGGGGAAGAGAGGGAGAAAGAGAGGAAGAGAAGCATCAATGTGAGAGAGAAACACTGACCGGTTGCCTCTCACACACACCACAATTGGGAACCTGGCCCACATCCCAGGCATGTGCCCTGTCTGGGAATCAAAGCAGGAGTCTTTTCATTTTCCAAGATGACACCCAAGTGAGTCATGCTGGTGAGGGTAAAACTATGAAAGTTTTAATGAGTTTGTAAGTGATTTAGAGAAGAAACTATGGGTTAGATTGCACTATGACTGATACTGTGATCTTAGACATATAGTCAAAATACTTCTATGTCTGAAAGCTCACTTCCCTCATCATAAATGATGACAGTTATATAGCACATGCCTCACTGTGTTGTTGTACTGTTTAAATGCGCTTCTTCACACAGAATTCTTAGTCTGAAACACTGTGAGAATGAAACAAATGGTAGTTACTTCTGTTGCTGTAGTTATTAACTATTAAGATGATGAGCCCTGACTGGTGTGGCTCAGTGGACTGAGTGCTGGCCTGGGTACTGAAAGATCACCAGTTCCATTCCTGGTCAGGGCACATGCCAGGTTGTGGACCAGGTCTCCCATTTGGGGTTGTGTGAGAGGCAACCTATTCATGTTTCTCTCACACGTTTCTCCCCCTCTCTTACTCCCTCCTTTCCCCTCTCTATGAATAAATTGATAAGTAAAATCTTTTAGAAAATGATAATATTGGACAATGTGTGGAGGGGACCAGGAAAGGAAGGCAGCAGTTCCTAAGATACTTTCTGCATTTTCCTACTCTTACCTGTCTTTCTATCCATGAAAAACAATTTTTTGTCCACAGGATTTGGAAATACTCACCTTCTGGTGTTTACTCTGTGCCCTTCTGAATCATTAACCTTTTGCCTGAACCTAATCAAAACCTTTGTCCTGAAACCTCGCAAGAAGGTTTCACTGAAAGATGATGAAAATCAGTGTTTTGCTTGGTAAAAGTTTCCAAAATCTGGAGATTCTTATTAGGGACACAGAATTCTGAATGAGAGTAGTCCAAGAACAATCCCAGGGGGATTGGAAAATGTTTTCTGAAGTTTCATTAAGGCCTAGGCTTCTATTGGGGTCATCCACTAATTTCATTGGAATGATAAGAAAAACAGACAAAGTATAATCTACACTTCATCCTATGTTTATAAAGCATCTATGACATTTATTAAAAAATAAATTGGCCTCTTCTGACAAAAATGTAATAAAAGTAACTGCACGGAAACTCCATGTCTTCAACATAACCCTTTCTACATCTTGTTTTCTTCATTCAAACTGGCCTTGTCCAGGCTAAGGGCACCACGACCCTCTCGCCTCCTTTCTCTGGTATCCTCCCCCCTGTGCACATACTGGCCATCCACGCCCTTCCTTATCATTACACTCTGGTTGGCATCCACAGTCTGATGAGCACAGAAACAATTACAATCAAGTTGAAGATCACACCTTAACTTCAGCTGTGTTTCGACCCCAAACCCATGAAAGTGGGTCCTACCAACCAAACACTCATGATACTGGACAGAATGGCACCATGGCCCACATCAGGAAATGATTCAGTGATCACCCACTCCGGTCCCTGGCCTTCCTTCAGCTCCTGTAATCACCGTGGTTAACACTGCTTCCCCTCCGTCTCCTGCAGGTCATTGGGCAGCCAGGTGTCGGAACACCCCTCACCGGCCAGACCTGCCTCCCTCTCTTGTGATGACAACTCTTCTGAATTAGTTATTTCTTGTTCACTTGTATATTCTTATACATCTACTTCTTATTAATATATCTATAATTATGTTGCACACTGGAAAGTTTACAGGAATAGCCCCCCACTGTACAGTTCACTGTTCTGCATCTTGCTTGTTTTCTGGACAAGCAAACCCTGCTCCCTGGTTAACTCCTGAGATGCAGCCTGACCTAAACCAGGGCCGTGTCAGGAGGGCAGCTCAGGCGCCTCCTGCCCCTCACCTCGCCGCCTTGGAGCCCATTCGTCATCAGAGTCCTCAGGGTCCTCCTCCTGGAGTTCGGTGGCCTGCCTGTGGTGGTGACACAGGAAAGCTGGTCTCGGGGCCCTGAGACCTGGAAAGAGACAAAACCTTTGTCCTGAAAGCAAAGAGCCTGGAGGAGAAACAAGTACCAGGAAGCCCTGGATGGGAGAGTAAAACGAGCTGCTGAGAGCCCCGCACTGTCAGCGCCAGCCCTGCTGTGACGCGACCAAGCAAATTCTCCCATCGGTGTCCAGGCAGGAGGGACCTGCAGGCGCATGGAGCCGCCTGAGCCAGAGCCAGCCCAGCGGCCTGGCGGGTTCCCCAGGCCCCTGGGCCCAGCCCCTGCACGGTACCGAGGCGGGTGAGCACCTGGAAGTTCCTCCTCTGGTTCTGGTACCGGCCTCTCTCCCGGTTGGCAGGGCGCCCAGACAGGGGGACCGAGGACCTGGACGGGCCGAGGCGCCGTGGCGGGGCCTTTGTTCCCGCCCTTCCCTCCACGCGCCGCCTCAGCGCAGGCTCCTCAGGCCCGGAAACGCGCTTTCCCCGGGGAGGGGCCCGGAGGTGCACCCGGGGGTCCGGAGAAGCCCGCAAGAGACGCAGGCGCGTCCCCGGCAGACCGCCGTCTCTCAGGCTGACGGGCTCGGGGTCCCTGAGACCCGATCCTGCGTCTTCCGGGCTGAGGACACTGAGGTCTGGGGGGAGGGTCAGACCCTGCGGCTGAGGAGATTCGGGGCGTCTCATCGAGGGGCTTCAGGGTCCCCACCACCGAGTTAGTTGCGAGGACGAGGCATTTAGCGTCCCTGAGTTTGGGGAGATTCGGTCTTTCCGGGCGAGCTGCAGGTTGGGGGCCCCGAGCCGAGGGGAACTGGGGTTTTCGGGCTGTTTGGGGCTCTAGGCGTTGGGGTCAGGAGATGTGGGTCCTCCGGGTTGGCGGACATGGGCCCCTCGATGCTGCAGGGGTTTGGGGCCCCTCAGGATGAGGGCATCTGGGGTCTCTTAGGCTGGACTTTGGAGGTCAGGGACTAAGGGCTCCACGTGGTAAGGCTCCCCGCTTACCGGTCAGTCTCCTGGGGTCCTTGCCGCGCTGCCCACCTCGATGGAGCGTCCTCTCCGAACCCTGGGCCACCCGCCCTCGGAAGCAGGGAGGGTGCTTTCGGCGGGATGCTGGTGTGGATAGTCACGTGGGAGCAATCCGCCAATCAGTGCCGTGATCCCAGGGCCCTGCCGGCCAGTGGGCGGTCAGAAGAAGCTGAAAGGGTGAGCCAAGGGGCGTTGGAAGACACGCCTCACTCCGCGGGGATTGGCTACTCTGGGTCCCCCTCCCCCCTCCAGCACCTCTCTCACAGCCTCTCACAGCCTCTGCAATGGGTAAGGGGTTGGCTGGTGTGGGAACCCGACCCGCAGGAGCTGGAAGCTCTGAGCTCCGTCTCTAGGGTGGACGTGGCCCTCCCGCCGCCTGACAGAGTATCTTTGTTCCACTAGACTGTGGTCAGGATCCCCAACTTTCCTCTAGGCCCGTCCTTGCCTTCCCTTATCATACCCACTTTTGTAAGATATGCATGACCAGTGAGCGCATGGTCAAGACTGCATTGCATTCGGTGGAAACTTAAGTCAGTAAATTCTGACCACGCTATTCACAGACACAAAATAAGTCTCAGAGGGCTCAAAGATTTAAATGCAACAAATGACAGAATAAGTACACTGGAAAACACACTGTGAGAATTTCACATCTCAAACAAGTGGTGTTATGAGTAATATGTCTGCTTAAGTAACTCAGGTGCAAACACAATTCAGAAATAGGAAGACAAGATAAAAACAAACAAAACTAAATAAGTTTTTTAAATGCTGAAAAAACCTCCAAGTATTTTGCAAAAAAATAACACATCAAGTTTGAGGACAGGGTCCATAGAGCAGGGTCAGCGTAGCTGCTACTGGCTTTCAGGGGAGAAAGTGGGAAGAGTGTTTCTGGTCCATACCTCACTTTTGAGCACGTAAATATAACTTAATTTCCATGAACTGGAACTGTGCCAACTAACTGTAATTATTACTGAGAAACTGCATAAAGAGAAACTTCACTAAAGTGGAGCTGGGGGTCAGTGGGGGTGCTCCACATAGCACCACCCAGGGTCAATTACAGGAAAAATTGTCTGTCACAGGCCCAACATGAAGATGTACTGTGTGCTCCCAGCAGAAACCAACTCCCCAGCAACGCAGCCAGATAGAAGCCATTGTCACCCTGAACTGAGGATTTTCTGCACTGCACTTTCCTTTGAAATGACCCCTCCCAACTTCCTCCTTTCTCCCTGTAAAATAACGTTCCTCTCCTTTACTTGTGGAGCTTACCTATCTTTTGCTATAGCTTGCTTGTCCTAAGTTGCATTTTTTGTTACTCTTTCTGAATAAACCCCTTATCTGCTGGTAAAATAACTGACTGCTATATTTTTAAGGTCAACATAATTTGGTGGCCCATATGGGGATCCAGAGGACTCCTGAACTCTCTGAGGCTGATGAGCAAGCAGGTACAGTGTCCTTGCTCTGAAAGACTCAGGGAATGGTCTTTTGGTGCAGACTCTCTGGATCATTTCTAGACTAGCTATTCAGAAATAATATCCTCATACCCTCTGACCCAGAAGTTCCACTTTTCAATATTTTTCCCTAGTAGCCCTGGCCTGGTATCTCAGTTGGTTAGAGTGTCCTGCCTATATGCCAAGGTGGTCAGTTCATTCTCCAGTCAGGGGACATACAAGAAGCAATCAATGAATGAATGCATAAGTGGAACAACTCTATCTCTTTCAAATTAATAAATGAAAAAAATTTTACAGCATAAAAATCCCCTTAGTTATGCTTTCCTGTGTCGGAGATGAAGTATGTTTAAAATATTACAACCAACACTTACATAGTAACGTATAATTTTAAAGTTTTCAGTAGAAGAGAATTTGTTAATTTATGGTTTTGTCACACTGTGAAATATTACAGAACATTAAAAATGGGTGAGGATACATGGTATTTCATTAAAGAAATAAAACCTACTAAGGTGCTTCTAATGGATTGTAACATAGAATAGTTTCTAAGCAATGTTGTTATGTGAGAAAAGTATCCTGCAAAACAAACTGTGTTTAAAAAAAACCCAGGCAGAAGACATGTGCTGAAAGGAGACACAGGGACTAGTAGTAGCCACAGGGATCAGGGTCTGGGCAATGTGCAGGGGAGAACTTGCTTTTCCTTCATGTCATTTGGAACGTTGTGTCATTGTTGTGTCAGTTCTTTACTACTTTACTTAAAAGAAACCTATCTATGTATATTTTTATAGACAAAAGAATTAATAAGATTAGTAGTTGGTTATATATGTATGCATTTAAAATGACTCAGCAAAAATTCTGCACGTCTTCATTACATCCAGTGGCCCGTGCTGCCTTCTTTATCTGAATAGCACCTTGACCACCCAAAGTGTCCAACTTGCACCCAAAAGTCTACTCCAGCAGGAACATTTCCACAGTGCAAAATATACTGCCACACAGTTACTGTTTGTTTGAAAGATGCAAACTATTTATTATAAAAACAATGAATTTTATATTTCAGTTCTGGATCCAAGGTCATTTGCAGAAATGCAATTAAGAATATTACAAACCCTGACTAGTGTGGTTCAGCTTCTGTGTCTGGCATCTGGCAGCTACGGTTCATTGTCCAGCTTCCACTCTGACATCTGGCTGTGGAGTCTTGGTTATGGACCTGGGTCCTGTCTCTGAGGTCTGTGGCCCATGTTTGACTCTAGTTGGGTAGGGATATCAGATCTGGGGTCTCTTTGGGTGTGGCTTTGGGGTCTCTGGGTTTGTGTGTGGGGTCCATGTGCATGTCTATAAATGTAGTCATTAGCTCCAAGTTAATGCCAAGAGGAGTCCCAAAGTTGGGGTGTGGTGAAGAAGGAAACTTTAGTGCAAATACCTTGATTTTAATACAGAATGGCCATGAGTACAGAATGGTTGCTAAGAAGCTCAGTATTGTCACAGGTGAATTATGAAGCAGCATGCGGTGTATCAACTCAGTACTGCTGCTTCTCAGTTATGTAGCATCAGGGCTGTGAGGAGGCCTGAAGTGGGGCAGCCCTGAAGCAAACTCCCTCTCCTGCTGTGCTGCTTAAGGCTTCTTTGAATGACTTCTGGTCTAGACCTTTCATTTTCTTCGTGCTGGGCGGCATTTGCACAAGAAGAAGTGAAAATTGGAAAAGGAGCCCCTCTGAATGGTGAGATCAGGCTCTGGTGTTGTCACAACAACATACTAGATTATTATTATTTTTAAATTATGCCAAGGTTTCCTCTAGTATTTTGAAAGCACAACTGAGATGGCCTTTTTGTTGTTATTGTTGCCACTTACTTAAATTATATAGAAAAATAAAAATAATTGAAGATCCTACCCAAACAGGTAATAACTGCTATTATATTAAGTGCATATGCGTCTAAACCAGGTGGGGATGTGTGTGGTGTAATGGGCGGAGGAGGGCACAAAGGAAAAATTGGAAAAGTGTAATAGAATAACAATAAAAATAATGTAATAACAAAGTATATACCCTTCCAGACATCACTGCTTGCATATTTCCATTCTTCCACTTTCTCTGGGCTTACTTTATTATTCCAGGTTTGTAATATGATGCAAAGTTTGTGAATTTTCAGGCTTTTTTCTAATGTGTGGATTTATCAATACCTTTTACTAGTGTTTTTAATGTACAATTTTTATTATCATTCAGTTTAAATTCATTGTAATTTAATTTGTGAGTTATTTAGAAGTGAATTTTATCATGTTTAAACATAAGAACTTCTTAGTTATCTTTTATCACTGATTGTTAGATAAGCTGCAATGAGAAAAGAAACATACTTTATATAATTTCAATCCTTCGACATATTTTTCTGAAACTTGCTCCACAGTAGAATATGGTCAATGTAAAAATAACAACAACAAAACCCCCAAAAACTACAAGCTCTGTTCTGTGCTGCCATCCCTTGTTTATTTTGGGAATAACCCCTTCGTGCTGGTCAACAAGAAAAATGGTTGCTTCTGGTGGAATGTCAACGGCTGTTGATGGCAATGGTATTTAGAAGTGTATTTTACAATGTCCCAAGGTATGGACTGTCCAGTTACCTTGTGACTGATTTCTGGATGAGGGCAAAGGATGCAATAAATGTGTTTTAAGTGCCATTTGTTGGAACTTGCTTTACATTGTAATAGAGTCAGGTTTTTAGAAGTTCCAAGTGTGCTTGACAATCATTTATAATTCGCTTTGTTTGTTGCGGCTTCCTTTAACAATGAAGAAAATATAATCTTTTAAAAATAAATTTTAACCCAGCAGATTAAAAAAATAAAACTGCTATCATTTTATACCTAAAAATCGAAGGAGCCCTTTTGCCAATCCTCTAATACATGGCCCAAGTGTGCATCTCTGCTGTCATCTCTGGAATTTTGGGGAATAACATCTTAGTACAGGTCAGCAGGAAAAGTGGTTGATTATAGTCAAATATCAGTGACTGCTGATTTTTCTAAACTTTTTTATTGATTATGCCATTACATTTGTTCTATTCCCCCCTCCATTCCCCTCCACCCTGCATACCCCTCCCCCACCATTTCCCCCTTTAGTTCATGAACACATGTCTCAAATTCTTTAGATTCTGTATTTCCCCTACTATTCTTACCCTCCCCCTATCTAGTTTCTATCTACTGTCTATGCTACTTATTTTCTGTACCTTCTCCCCCCTTCTCCTCCTCCCACTCCCCTGTTGCTAACCCTCCATGTGATCTTCATTTCTATGGTTCTGCTCCTGATCTAGCTGTCCTCTTAGTTTGCTTTTGTTTTAGGTGTGGTTGTTACTAACTGTGAGTTTGCTGTCCTTTCACTGTTCATCTTTTTTATCTTCTTTTTCTTAGGTAAGTCTCTTTAACATTTCATATAATAAGGGCTTGGTGATGATGAACTCCTTGAATTTGGTCTTATCTGAGAAGCACTTTATCTGTCCTTCCATTCTAAATGAAAACTTTGCTGGGTAGAGCAATCTTGGTTGTAGGTCTTTGGTTTTCATGACTTGGAATACCTCTTTCCAGCCCCTTCTTGCCTATAAGGTCTCTTTTGAGAAATCAGCTGACAGTCTGACGGG